TATGGCTCGAAAGCTTGGAACCCGGTTAATACCAGATTTTCGGTGGATAAAAATTTTCCTCTCGAAAGATGAAAACACGGGAAAGCAAAGCTATCAGGCAAATACCAATCATTCCTACTACTATAGAAGGCGTGAGTGATGCCCGAGTTACAAGAAGGTATATTTTATATTTTGACCACTATTTGTTACCAGTTTAGGTTTAGTACTAATATACCGGTTAATACCAGATTTTCGGTGGATAATTAATTGCCTCTCGAAAGATGAAAACACGGTAGACTAAATATTCAGGCGAATACCAATCACATAATTGGCTCATAAGTCGTTTGTGAGTGATGCTAGATTTACAAACTAATAAAAAATGCTTTTTCCGTAAATTTTTGGCGATGGTCTATTTATACCGGTTAATACCAGATTTTCGGTTGGAACACGAAATTCCTCTCGAAAGATGAAAACGCGGTAGACTAAATATTCAGGCATATACCAATCACATAATTGGCACATAAGTCATATGTGAGTGATGCTAGATTTACAAACTAATGAAAAATGCTTTTTTTTTTTCTACATATTTGGCGATATGCTATTTATGCCGGTTAATACCAGATTTTCGGCTGGAACACGAAATTCCTCTCGAAAGATGAAAACACGGTATAATAAATGTTCAGGCAAAGACCAATCACAATATTCCGATTAGCTATTGTGAGTGATGCTCGATTTACATTTTATGCTCTTTATTATTTTTTTCTTTGCTAGAATTGCTTTGAATCAACCTCTTATAGTACTTAAGTATTTTTTTTTTCTTATTTTGCAGACGTTGACGAGGCCTCCAAAAAGGAAATCAAGGACATCCTCATCCAATACGACAGGACTTTGTTGGTCGGCGACCCACGTCGCTGCGAGCCGAAGAAATTTGGTGGTCCAGGTGCCCGTGCTCGTTACCAGAAATCATATCGTTAAGCTTTTATGGCGATATGCGATTAGTTATATTTTAAGGTGTACACTCTTGAAGGAAAAAATACATTTTTTATTTTGAAAAATGGACATTGTGGTTGTTCTTCACACTTGCCTGGTTATCAGGTTATCTGGTTATGTGCGGTTAACCAACGCACAGCATTACATACGTAGAATTCTGTTGGTTTTTGACTTCTACGTCTACGTAAAAATGGTATAGCAGTGCATGCACTGCCAAGTATGTACATGTATGTAAGTACAGAGGATTTATAGCCCAGCTATGCATACTTCACTGCTATACCATTTTTCGTAAAAATCAAAACCCAACAGAATTCTATCAACAATCTAGCTATGACAAAACCAAAAATATGGCTCGATAGGACTTTTTGTGTTGATTTCAACAATTTCTGGCGGAAGTAAAAAATAAAGAAGATATCAATGGTTAAAGTTAATTTTTCTGATTTTTTTTTTAATATTAATATCTTCTGAACATAAAAATAATGACGTCAAAGTAATTAGGTAATTAGGGGGTCTTTCACTTGGTTCAAAATTTTCTCCTTTTTATATTTTTAAGCCGGAAATACCTTATAAACAAAAAATTATAAATATATATATTTCTTTAATGGCGTTTGCTTAAAATTTGTTTTGAAAAGTGTTATACTATATACGTCGCGTAAAAGATATTTAAATTATCTTTAAATAAGCATCAATACTTTTCTGATCGGCAACCACAGCCGTCGCGTAGCCCTGTCGTCGCCAAAATAATTATCTACATAAGAATACGTGAAAAATAATTTGACAGTTGTGGTCCGTAGCTCGTCGTTTTCATTGTGTTTGGGCTATAACACCCCATTGAGAACACTTGACCATGAACGAAAGACACAAGATCACGCCTTCCCGAAAGAAAGAAAAAAGTTATTTTCTAGCTGTTGAAACCTCGACGCCATCTTTGTTGTAAGAAGTAAACAAGGAAGAGAACAAAAAAAACCGCGTAATTGTTGAAAACATGAATAATCATTTTTATTATGCAAATTCTCCTATAAATCATGTCGTGTTAAATTATTCTTTACCTTATGTGTGCACACGTTGTCACAAGCGAAAATTAAGAAAATTGCAGTAAAAAGCCACCACCAAATTGTAAACAACGAACAAATGTAAACAAACGGCTAATGCATTTAACCGGAGCTTCTACCTCCGATTTCTGCAAATCAGACATTGAACAACCGGCCCTAAGATTTAATAAATCCAGTTGCTAAATCACAACCGTCTCCATTACCACAACGAGATATGTTTGACGTTCACATTTTTAAATATTTGACGTTCACATTTTTAAATATTTGACGTTTGCTTATGTATGATTTTATAAATACAGTTGCGGACATTGATATACAGACAGATAAAGGGAAGGTACCAAGCGGAATTTCATTATATGAATTCTGAATATTATTGGCTTCTTATTCGTGGTAAATATGTATGTATAATATATAGTTTGGAAAGTGTAAAGAATGGTGCCATATTCCGAATTATTTTCCCGAATTTAAGAAAAATTATCAAAACGGTAAAATACATTTGCGGAAAGTAAAATTTTTGTAGAACTCTCTTATTTATAGGAGGGAACCGACAATCCAATCGTGGGCCTTTGGCATATCATGAATACGAACTGAATTCTAGAGGATGTTCCTTGCAATGTTATCGAAGCAGAACCATTACCGAAATTTATAAATTTTTTGTCGCAGCGCGTAGATGACTTATAGAAAGCGGAGAAGACTCTGCATGATATTACTATAAAACATTTCTTCTAAATTTTTAGTTTTAAAAATAATATTTTCTTAATTTATTAAAACCAAAGTTATGTAAATATGTATTACTAATTTTCTCCCAAACTAACAAAAATATAAAAATTCATGTTTTTATGATAGGCTAGATTTCAATGTCCTCAACTGTATATTGAAAACACAAATGTCATTTGACTTATGGCATGTGAATTTGTGGTTGCCACATCCAACAAATTGTACTTATTGATCAATATTATTGAAGATTTGACGAAGATTTAAGTTAAATCGACTGCCTTTCGAGATTTAATTTTATATGGTAAATCTCAAAAGATTTAACGTCAAATCTCGTCAGAGGGCTAAATCTTCATTAAATCTCACAATGAAGACATTGGCCCGTAGTCATGGTCAAAATAAAGTCGACTTTAAAGTTAGTTGCAGCTTTTTTGACAGATATCCCATTGAAAATTATGTCAAAAAGCTGCAACTAACTTTAAAGTCGACTTTATTTTGACTATGACTACGGGCCATAGTATTAAACTCGAGTTAATTTTTTAACAAGTATTGCACTATGATTATGCAACACTTATTTTTTTATTTTATTCCAAACAACAAAGACAAAGCAAGGCAAATGGGGTAAGCTAAATAATTATCAAGCTCTATACATTTTCTGAAACTTTAATTGCGTATTTTCATAAAATAAATTTAAGCAGCTATATATTGCAAAAATAACTCTCTTTTTGAGCATTTGAAAAAGTAAAAAGCTGGCAGCTTTGGTCAACGGCTGCCAATTACAAAGAAGAAGAAGAGAACGAAAAAGGCTTCTACTTGGCTTTTGCTTTTTGTTTGGAAAATAATTTAATACATTTTAACAATTTTCGGAAGTGTGTAAATTAAAAAAATTATATTTTTATCGCATAATTCTTCCGGTAAGCATTGGCGACTTTGTGATTAAACAATTTCGAGTGTGCCTACGCTTCACCTGGTCGCGGCGCGCGCTCTTGCTTAAATTCCGTGCCAGGCGTACTTATAATACACATTTTTATTCTACAGAGCTAGTATTTAAGAGGCCGTACACCGATCGCATTGGAATGTACATAAAATCAGTTATAATTGATGGGTTTAAGTCCTATGGACGGCGTACAGAAATCCATGGCTTTGACAGCGAGTTCACTGCCATTACTGGCTTGAACGGCACAGGCAAGTCGAACATTTTGGATTCAATATGCTTCGTGCTTGGTATAATGAATCTGGGACAGGTAATTTTTTTCTCGTTTTTATTTTTCCATTGACTTAAGTCCCGTTGAATAGGTGCGAGCCGCATCTCTTCAAGATCTTGTGTACAAAAGCGGTCAAGCTGGCGTCACAAAAGCAACCGTTACACTAATTTTTGACAATTCAGATCCAAATCAGTGCCCTTTGGGCTATGAGAAATGCCGAGAAATCTCTGTTACTCGGCAGATTGTTGTTGGTGGCAAAAATAAGTACCTTATAAATGGCAAGCTGGTGCAGAACAAGAAGGTCTCCGACTTTTTCTGCTCTGTGCAGTTGAATGTTAACAATCCCAACTTTTTGATTATGCAAGGACGTATTACTAAAGTACTGAACATGAAACCACAAGAAATTTTATCGATGATTGAGGAGGCCGCAGGCACTAGCATGTATGAAACCAAACGCGAAGCGACTACAAAACTGATTGAAAAGAAGGATGCGAAAGTACGTGAAACAAATACTTTGTTGCAGGAAGAAGTTGAACCGAAGTTAGAAAAGTTGCGTCAGGAGCGTTCAGCTTATCTGGAATATCAAAAAATATGTCGCGACATTGAATATTTGACGCGCATACACATATCATTTCGTTATCTTAAGCAAAAAGAAGCACTCCGTTCCATTGAGCAACACATTGAAAAGCTAACAAACCGTGTGGAAACTTGCAAAACCACAATTAAAGATAACAACAGTGAAACAGAACAGATTGAGGAATCTGCAAAGCAAGTACAGACGCAAATCGATTCCGACAGCGGTGGTGCACTGAAAGAAGTTGAAGAACAACTCACCAAGCAAGTGGTGGAGGAAGGAAAAATGGCGGGTAACTTGAAATCGGCGCAAACTAGTATAGATCAAGAGCAGAAGAAGCTACGTGCATTGGAGAAAAATATTTTAGAAGACGAAAAAGCGCTGAAGCAGAAGGAAGCACAAATGTCTAAAGTACATGATCTGTTTCAGAGCCTTAAAGATGCGGATGAACGTGATTCGCAGGCGTATGATGCGGCACAGAAAAAGTTCGAGGCGGTTACGCAAGGCTTATCGGTGGACGAAGAGGGTCAATCGTGTTCTTTGCAGGACCAGCTCATTAGTAAAAGAAGATTTATAGTTGTATAAAAAAGATTTTGTGATTTAATTTTTGATTTCAGATGCGAAACAACAACTAAGCCAAGCCGAGACGACACTTAAAACTTCAAGCATGGAGTTGTCGCACTGCAGAAATGTTTTGAAGCAGCGTGCGAATGATAAACAATCCAAGGACTCGCTCTATGCTAAGGATCAACAATTAAGCGAACAACTTGAAAGGGAAATAAATGGTCTTAGCCAAAAAATGGCTACCATCGATTACGAGGATGGCAGCTTTGAAGCGCTGCAGGAAAGAAAAAATGTGCTACAGCATGAAATACGTGACTTAAATCATCAGCTGGACCGACGAAATGCCTATCGCTATGAATTACAATATCGCGATCCCGAACCAAATTTCGATCGTTCCAAGATGCGTGGCATGGTTGGCAAACTATTCAATGTGCGCGATGAAAAGAATAATCTCGCTTTAATGATGACTGCCGGTGGCAGCGTAAGTTTGATTGCTTCATATACAATACATTTATTTATTAAAACATATTTTCACTTGCAGTTGTACAGCTATGTAGCTGATGACGATATAACCAGCAAGAAGATACTGCAAAAGGGTCAGTTGCAACATCGTGTAACCATCATACCCATTAATAAAATCACTTCTCATCCGATCGATCAGAGTGTAATTGATTTCGCACAGAGCTTGGTGAGAATGAATTTTTGTAAGATTTGTTAGTATTTTGCATATTTATACTTTTCTAGGTAGGAAAAGAAAATGTGCAGTCCGCTTTGTCTTTAATCGAATACGATCGTTGCTTCGATCCTGTAATGAAATTTGTTTTTGGCCACACATTGGTGTGTCGCGATTTGAATGTCGCTAAAAAGGTTAGCAAATCAGCGGCTTTTTATATAGGCTTTTTATATAATTTTTATTTGCTATTCTTCTCCCTTCATAGGTCACTTATCATCGTAACATAT